GTATGACAGGATCGTGTAGATTGCTATGCTACAGGACTCCGATAGAAGTCGAGTGATTGCCTGTTACTCGCGAGAGATAGGAAATATATTACTGTATTATGATCACTTGGAAAATATAAATGGTGGAAAAGAAAAATGGTGACTGGGTAGGGATATGGTTTGGGTATTGGTGGGTGTAAGAGGTTGTGTCCTGCGACCAACGGGGCATAGCTTGGTTATACTGTTTTTCCTGTCTGTGTCGGTTAAGGACCGCCGTTGCATTGGACGATAGGCAAGTCACAGACTTATTATCTTGAGCACATACTTGAGTATAGGCGCAGGGAAGACTTGTTACTCTCTTGTCATGGGTTCCGGCTCTTTCCGGACCGACTGTTAGGGTGGTTTTTGGGTATTGGAGGTTCTTGCACCGCACTGAGTCCGGGACTCAGGGGTAGGGGCTTGGAGTCCCAGTTTGGACGGGGACCTAGACCCTATGACAGGAGGGTAGTAGGTTGGTCCGGCTTGTGCCTGGGGTACAAGCGGGGCGTGTGTTTTTGGGGTACCCAGTTGGGGGCATTGATTCGTGAATCGCCGGCGTTCCGGTACGACTTATCCAAACTATAGCATCGTAGTAAGAATTGGAAGATGAAAGATGGGAAAGCATTGATTCGTGAATAGCATAGGTGCTTACATAGAATGGTTAGTTTGAACTAATGACGACTGCTATCCAAACTATAGCATCGTCGTAAGAATTGGAAGATGAAAGATGGTGAAAGAAAATATGATTGCTTACCACCTGCTTAAATGTAGCATAGGTGCTTACATAGAATGGTTAGTTAATAAACTAATGACGACTGCTAATAAAATCGAATATAAGGACACACATTTAGTAATGCTCCTACAGATGTAATAAACCCACAAGCCAGATAGCCTTGTATATCCTTGGAGTCTTTTCTTTTCTCTGTCGTATTAAAAGTGATGTAAGAAATGGTTAAGTCTTAAGCTTTTGAGTATAATTGAGTACTCAAGGTTTTATGCAAAATTTCGAGGTCTGCAGGTGACTTCGCCCAAGGTGGATGCTAGGCCAAAGAGCTGACTCTATGTGTGGATTTCCACCGTGGGCTCGGAGAGGATTCCACCTCCATCCCGACCGACTGCGATCATAGTTTTTATTTATAATTCTCATCAAATGTTTTATTAAATAGAAGTTTTATAATCTGTTGTCGTAGTTTATATATCAATATTTCATCACGTCATAAATAGATTTTTATTTCCGCTATAATTCTGATCATATGTTTATATTCCGCTGTTAACTTAAATTGTTCATAACTCTGATAACATGTTCACATTCCGCTGTTATAACAATAACTATTATACTCTGATGTCGTATTAAAAGTGATGTGAGAAATGGTTAAGAATGATGTAAGCTTTATTCTCTCATTTGTGATCTGATGAAAAGGCGATGGATTTTCAAATTCTTTTACCATCCCCTTGGACGGCAGTGCAGGGTGTGTGGACACCGCTGACTTCTCGCTTTGAGCAATGCAGACGAGACCACCGAGACCCCGCATCATACACGGGTCAATTTGTTGTTCTCCCTTGAGTACTTAGTGTCTAATGGGCATGCCTCCTATAGTGGAAGCCAGACTGAGCGTCAACAAGAAGACACAAGTACTCGGGGCCTAGCTAAAGACGGCGGGAGACATTAGATTAACACCATCTTCTGAACAAGGACCTTCCAACCATGCATGCACATGGGGAGAGGAGAAATAGGAAGAACACTGGTAGGGCCGCGCTGAGAGCAACGCCTCTCAAAGTGGGCCCAGGATTAAGCGCTTGTAACCCCTACTACTAGCACGAGAGTTACAAGATCGATCTCTTGGGACGTGGGTCATCGTCGAACCAGTATAAACCTTGTGCTCTTTGCATCACCAGCGGAGGATTAGGCACGCAGTTCAAAAGGAGGATGGGCGTCCAAAAACACCGCGACTTTATTCTCTCGATGAAAAAATGTAGATTTTCGGGTTCTCCCTTGGGGTGTGTCCGTGAAATGGGTGTTCTCCCTTGAGTACTTAGTGTCTAATGGAAGACAAGTACTCTGGGAGACATTACATCCGGAGAGGAGGGGTGGAGGTAGGAGACGCGGCACGAGTGGGGCAAGCGCGCGTGAAACGTCGTGCAAGCACCAGCCAGCGCTTAGCTTGTTTTGGCCTGTGTTTTCTCGTGAAATGGAGTCATGAATGAGCAGTTAAAGTGCACGATCCCGAGCCACACAAACTCTAGTTTTTCCCGAGGAGATGCAATTCAGATGTTGTGGGTTTTGGTTTTATTTTGAATTTGGTGTGCTTGACAAAAACATATAGTGAGACGTGAAAGCATATCTATATCTCTTATAAAGATAAACCTCATTGGCAATTTATCTTGCCATGCAAAGTGTCCACATCAGCATCCACTAGAACATCCCACTAGCACAGTCAACTATCTCGCCATGCAAAGTGTCCACATCAGCATCCACTAACACATCCAACTAACACATGCCATTATATCTTCATTCAAGCTATTCACATTAGCAAACCATATCATTTACTAACATATTTTTACTTGTCCACATTAGAATGCTAAAAATCATCCACTAACATGTATTATGATATTTATTCAATCATATTAATAAAATATAAGTAAGTGAGAATTCAAAGGTTTATGTATCTCCCTACATTTCACTCTAAGGGTTGTTTGGTTTGTGGAATTTCCACCATCATCTCCACTCTCTAGTTTTTTTGACGAAATAAAATGAGTTGATCCATCGACCATATTCCTCCCAAGTTTCTCCAATAATAGAAGACAAGTGATGGCCTAGATGAAAGGACTATTAAAGTTTGGTGTGGACAATAGGGCTAGCATATTGATGAAAAAACCGAATCAAACAGAAGTGTTGGTTTCTTTTTTTGTTTTGAGAATTCAAAGTTGGTTTATGTATCGACAAAACCAAACTACAAGTCTGTTTCTTGCCTATATATTACTTTGAAATACTCTAAGGGTTGTTTGGTTTGAGGAATGAAGTGGTCCACCATCATCTCCACTCTCTAAATTAAAAGTCCTTGTGTGGCTTTTCTTTTACATGTTTTCTAGATATTTGAAAACTATAAATCAAAAAAAAATAAGAATGTTGATCCATCAGTTATTAGCACATCATATTCCTCCCAAGCTAATAATTGTATGAGGAATGAGACTAATCGAACTCGTTCCACTGGAAATATTAATTATGCATCATTTGCTCTACCACCCAGGTGGCGCATAGAATGAATTAGTTGCCCAAACAAAACACTCCATAAAAGAAGCTTAAAACACGTAGATGAAAGGACTTATTAAAGTTTGGTGTGGACAATAGGGCTATCCGGGCATATTTCAAATCACAAAAACCAAAAACTCAAATGGAAAGTTGAAAAAAACAATTATAGATCTTGAAGTTGTTGGTATTCTTTTCAATTTGAAGTTTTGTTCATAATATTTTTCGGTTTTTGGTTTGACCAAATTTGACTTGGTCAAACTTGCTCAAATGAATTTAAATGACCCCTGAATCCAAGTTTGAATCAATGAGCTCATTTTCCCATTTGAGAAAGTTTTATCAAAACTAGTCAAACTACAAGTGAAATTTAAACTATATTTTGTTCAAACTTTCTCAAATGAAAAAATGGCCTATATAAAAATATGATATTTGATTTAGACAATCTATAGAAAACTAGTTTAAAATAGTTTGACAAATTTGACCTATCATAGAATTTCCACAAAATTGTAGATCTTGATGAGTTTAACAAACTTGGTATTCAAAACTTTTCAATTTGAAGTCATTTAGAGTAGAGGATAAATGTTTTTTTCATTTTTTGGATCCATCGCTCAAATGACACTAAATGACCTCAGATAACTCTGAATTTTGATCATCTCGCAGCTTATCTTCCCATTTCTAAATTCAAAAAGTCCTTGTGTGGCACACTTGTAAATTTACTACATTTTGTTCAAATCAAATGAAAAATATACATGTTATATCTAGATATATATGAAAAACTATATATCAAAAAATAAGAACGATTTATAATTTCGAACATGAATAAGTAGTTATTAGCAGGCATCATCCAAAGAGGTCCTGCTCTTACAATTTTCCTTCGCGTGGCACTAATCTTTTACCGAGAGAATTTGAGACTAACTTCTCGAACTGCACTCGCTGGCCGCCGCACAGGTGGAAACTATGTCGCGAAGCTATTCAGTATTCGCCGCCAATGATTTGCTCTACCACTCTACAGGTGGCGCAGGTACCACGTCGCCACCCACATCGGTCGGCATAGAGTGGTGTAATGTTGCTTTTCTTTACTTGCTTAACGATTATGGACTCATATATATATATATTTTAAAATTTCGCTGCATTGCATCTGCATGCCACCTGCTAGTAGCTACGACGACGAAATGTCAACGAGAGCATTCGGAAACCGTAGGCGAGCAGGCAACTGCCGACGCCTTGACACGCTGGCGTGCTTGGCAATCAGCGTCAACGGGCACACGTGAGCACGCGCCGCGCTCACGCACCCGCGGCGCCCCGCAACAAATCCGGCGCGGCCGGTCGCCCCCACCCACCGGCCCGGGCACCGCCGCCAGCCAACCGCGCGCCTCCACGTCGCGGATCTCGCTGCGGGGCCGTTGGGCTCGACAGGTCATCAGCGACAGCTTTCGATCCATCCCTTCCTTCCCGTTCACTTTCTCCTCCTCGTGAAGCGAGCGCTCCTTGCCTCCCCCTCCCCTGCGATTCCATTTCCATCCCGTCCCGGACGAAACGGCTTCCAACTTTCAAAACGGCCGCGGCGCAGATCCACACGCACAGGCAGGCAGACGGACAGGACCGCCGCCGCAGTTTTCAAATCCCGGGGCGGATTTCCCTGCAGAGATAGACACAGAGAGAGACGGAGGCCAGCAGAAGCACCACCGGGATCTCTCCTCGTCGTCCACCGGGGCGCTAGCTACAGCCTAGAGCCATGGGGAACAGCATCTACCGGTTCCTGTGCGGCCTGTGCGCGCCCTCGTCGTCGGAGCACGGGCTCCACGGCGCGCACCCCGCCGTCGCCGCGCTCGGCCGTGACATCCTCAGTTTCCAGAGCACCTCGCAGGTGAGCTATCCGGCCGCGAGCTGAATTCCCCGATTGCACGTTTGCTCCGCCGCCGTTCGGTGTGGGTTTTGCTGGCAATTACCTCTACATGAGCTTGATTAATTTGGCGGGGTTCTGTCTGCTGTGTTGTGGTTTTTTTAAGGTCCCGGACGAGCTGAACCGGCACGTCGTCTCCTCCAAGAAAGCGCAGGCGAATTGGTACGCGATTTCTTCCTTCTCTGCTTCATTTCTTCCATCTGTGCACCGGCTGGAGCTGTCGTGGTTGCGAGGGCTTCGATAAGTGGAGTTGAGAAAGAGACTTTATCTTTAGAAATTAATGGAAAACATAGCGGCGGTAATTAACCTTAGCTTCTTCTGAATTTTGTGGCCACAGAACAAGACAGTGACATAAATTCAGTGCAGCCAGCGTGTGGTAGCATATTTATCTAGTACAGTGTACCCACATAAATAAAAGGAAATAGAGCTTTCTACTTATGGCAAGAACGAAGGACAGATGGCAGTAGACTCGTTCAACTGCCATAACAGTGAGCTACTAGTACGAGTAGTATACTCTACATTTTCCTTTCTTTACAACCGAAGAAGTTTTGATAACAGAATAAATTACTGAGTTACTGTGCTAGTAGATCTAATATCGCCGGCTGATTTATCATTGAAGTAAATTACGTCATTTAATCGCTAAATTCGTTGAAAAATTGACTGCGGTAGCTGGTAGTGGTGTGGATTTGTCGTTCATCATGACGACAACTGACAAGTAGCGAGCACCAACATCTAGCTGGGATTGTAAAATGCTGTCATTGATAAACTCCTTGCGCTCATGTAAGGTACAAGAAGCTGCTGGTGGCATGGAAGAAAGCCCGGCCGCCTCCGAAGACGCTCGAGGAGGCTGCGGCCTTCGTTGTGCAGACGCTCAAGAACCATCAGAAAGCAGATGTGGAGGTACCTTCAGCTTCCCAACCCCACGCGTACCTCCAACCAACAATGGTGCTCAAGCTCAACAACTCTAAAAATATTGGTTCCTGCTTGTGTTCTCCCAGGGCCTGTTGTCTTTCTACGGCCTGCCGCATCCGAACGCGGCAGCAGGCGCACCCGCTGCTCCTCCGCCGCCCAAGCCCCAGGGCGCCAAGTTCGAGCTGCACACGCTCCCCGTAAGAGCCCGGCCGGCCGGCTCCCATTTCCTGAATCTTTCCGTGGTCACGTCTACGGGTTAACGACTAACGAGTGTTCTCGCTGGTTTGTCAGATTGACCCCAAGTCTGTAGCCGACGGCGACACGGTCAACGTGTACGTCGACACGGCGGACCCCCGGGAGTCCGGCAGCGTGCCCCGCGAGGTGCAGAAGGCTGCGGCGGAGCGGGCCAAGGCGCGGGCCGCCAAGAACTACCAGAAGGCCGACGCGCTGCAGAAGATCATAGTCGACGCAGGATACAGGTGATCACTACGTCACTGGCTTCTGAAACTTGGCTTCACTCTTCTCGTGTTTTCGGCAGAACACCTCAAAACATTTGGTTCAGGCTGCTGTGACGGTTCTGTTTCTGAAACTTTGCGCGATGCGATGCAGGCCGGTTCCTAACGCGAGAGGCGAGGAGGTGCTAGCGAAGAAGTACAGGATCAGGCTGAGGTTTGTGCAACGCGTGCTGTTTTTATTTACCAATAACAAGGAGCATGTGCGTTGATTCCTCTGCATTTCTGCAATCAGATCAATCCTGAAGCAGTGAGAGTTGAATATGCATGTGCACTGTGCAGGGGGATCGATGCGCCCGAGAGCGCGATGCCGTATGGCAAGGAGGCCAAAGAGGCGCTGCTCAAACTTGTGCAGGGGAAGAGCTTGAAGGTCTACGTGTATGACGAGGACCGGTATGGTAGATGCGTCGGAGACATCTACTGCGACGGCGTATTTGTGCAGGTACGATTGCACTCGCTTGCATGTCTTTTTTTTAAAAATTGCCTTTTCACTAGTAGTCATGTAATACATTAGGCGTGGATTATTCATTTGCTTTGTTTCGATGAAGGGCGAGGGATGTTTTTTCTTATCTTATTAGGGTCATGAAAAGCTTAGATGCATGTTGCACATGATAGACGCAAAACTAAAGACCTCTGCATTTTGCAAGAAACTGTCAAAATGTTTGAGCTGTAACATCGTCATCAACAATGCACTGTAACAAACAATTAGTCTATCCTGAACGCCTGACACTCCTTCAATTAATTATGGGATTGTCCAACTTGCTTTCTATGCACAGGAGCAAATGCTGAAGAAAGGTTTTGCCTGGCACTACACCGCCTATGATCAACGCCCAGAGCTGGCCAAGGTAAAGCTATGTCGATCACTTGGCTGAAAAAGATCACGCAACCTTGTGAACTTTTCTGAGATAATGGTCCAATGCATAATTTCTGAAAAAGAAATGCCCTTCTCCTCTTAACCAACAGTGGGAGAAACAAGCACAGACTGGCCGGAAGGGATTGTGGGCGTCGTCGAAGCCACAGAAACCATGGGAGTGGAGGAAGGACAAGCGCAACGGGACAGCATGAACAGACCCCCGAGGTTCAGTAATAGCCATGAACACCAGATTGATTTATTTAACTGCAGACCTTTAGGGCAGTATTGGAAATGAGCACCACCGTAATCAGTATATCGCGGGGTTCAGTATATATTGTGCAGGCGTGCAGCATGTTTGTGTGTACACTAGACGATTCCTTGCATGACTGTGAAGCAGGGTGGAATAGATTGGTGTGATCCCTAATTTCGTATGGGGATTTGTCGTATAATTTTTTATCAAATGCATTGTATTAGCACCACTTATACTGCTGTGAAGTAGATCAACTGAGCCCGTAAAATATGTTGTATGGAAAGCCACTGTTGATATAGAACTTTGGATGGATGTCAATAGACTGAACGAATTGCTATATATGTCCTAAAAACGATGTAACTGACCAGTGGTTTTCTTGGGGTCAACCTTGACCGTTTGTTTCTCTGCCATGACAAATTGCGATTAGATTCAGTCTGCAATTCCCTGCATAACGTCACGTCCATGCTATTGGACTGTATCTTGGTGGAGTGGGGCCCAAGTGGCTCGCCGGGCGTGTGTAGAACTGTGTTGTACATACGGCCGTAACCCCGTAAGGGACTGGTTGACCCACGCGGCACGCGCTCCCTCTCCAGATGCAACAGCATGCTTTGTCGCCTCTTTGTGTTCACCTTCACCCCACCTGTGCTTGCCCTTTCTTTCTCTCCTCATACTCCCCTTGTTTCAGTTGTTTGTCACGTACGTTCACCGGCATCCGGCTCGGCTCCCGTTCAGTCTCACTTCCCTCTTCCACTTGAACACTCGCAAGCTGTCACTCTGCATCTCCTATCTTCCGGTATCAAGATCGCTATTATCGTCCAAGGCCAAACGTTCAATTAGGGAATCTTTTGTCGGTTTGTCCTGTCTATCTATTTTGCTTATGTTTAGGAAGTAATAAATTGCACGGGCGGATCCATTGGGCTGTCCGGGTATGGCAAGGCATACCCTAAGCCCAGCCCAACAAGAGACATACCCATCTGTAAAAAAACAAACCGTGTGAGCAGGCCAGCACCCGTCTCCTCTCTGCGACCGCGTCAGACGCAGAGGCGTAAGCTTGCCCCGCCACTACCCCACCACCCCGCCCCCCGGCCGCCCGGCACAGCGGCACCCAACCACCCCTGCCGGCTACAACAAGGCTCAGGCCGCAGCCGCGCGGCGCCGCGGCCTGCGGCTGCCCCGCGCTTGGCGCCTTAGCCAGAGGCGTGAGGCGCCAAGCGCCCTGTCCAGCTGTCCCCCATGGCCCCACCCCACTGACCAACTCCCTCTGTGCGTCAGCGGCCGACGCATCCTCCGACGACCAGCGTTCCTTCCCTCCAGCTGAAGCAAACTAGCAAAGGTATCAGGTATGGGTATCAGTCTGAAGCAATTTTCCCAAAAATCTCTAACCCTAACTTCCATCTGTTTTAATTTATGTATTTAGTTGTTGTTCAATTTCTCCTCAAATTAGTTGATTAGTTAAACTTATACAATATGTGCTTGTGATTTGTGAACTATGAAGAGAGATTGGGACATTGTATCTATGTTCCAGAAACATGCTGCAAAGAAACATGCTTCTTCAACTCCTGTTGTGGAAGAGGAAAAGATAATAATTGAAGAAATTGTTGATCCTTCTGTGGAACCAGCTGAAGACGTGACTGCTGTTGTAGAACCAACTCTTGTGCCTGTTGTGACTGATGTGTTGCCACCAACACCCCCACAGCCACCTTCAAGTTATGATGTTGATCGCCTTCCACATGATCCAGGTGAAAGGTTGCCCATTGCAAGTTATCATGCTAATGATCAAGATGCAGTTAGGAGAGCATACATTCTTAGAGGGTCATTCCAACCTTATGCTCATGAGTTTCCAAAAAGGAAAATTGGAGATAAAGATCAGAATTTCTCATGTATATGGTTTGCCAAATATGATTGGGTAGAATATAGCATCAAGAAGGATTCTGTGTTTTGCTTTGTGTGCTACTTGTTCAAAAACAAGAAATACAAGGGCAAAGGGACATATGCATTTATTGTAGATGGATGGAGAAATTGGAATGTGGGAGATACTTCACTTTTGAAGCATATGAAGTCTAAGGCACACAAGGATGCTCCAGAGAAGTACATTGGCTTTATGAATCCTAATGCAGCAATTGATAATAAAATTGAGAAGTGCAGTGATGAAGAAATAAAGCATTACAAGATCAGATTGACTTATTCACTAAGATATATCAAGTTTCTTTTGCATCAAGGGTTGGCTTTCCGTGGACATGATGAAAGTGAAGAGTCTAGCAACAGAGGCAACTTTATAGAATTGTTGAAGTTTCTTGCAGCAAATAGTGAAGAAGTGAATAAGTTTGTGCTCAACAATGCTCCAGGTAATTGCTCATTAACTAGCCCAATGATCCAGAAGCAAATTATTTCATGTTTCGCCATAGAGATTAGAAAGAAAATAATTGAAGAGATTGGTGAAGATCGCTTTGCTCTCTTAGCTGATGAGTCTAGTGATGTGTCACATAAAGAACAACTAGCCCTATACTTACGTTTTGTTGATAATTTGGGAAGACCATGTGAGCACTTTATTGGAGTAGTTCATGTAGATGATACTACCTCTTTATCACTTAAGGAAGCAATTGAAGATGTACTTGTTAGTCATGGCTTAACTATAACTAGCATCCGCGGTCAAGGCTATGATGAGGCTAGCAATATGAAAGGAGATATTAAAGGGTTGAAAATATTGATCATGCAAGAGTCACCTTCAGCTTATTATGTCCATTGTTTTGCACATCAGCTCCAACTAGTTCTTGTTGTCGTTGCTAAGGACAATACTAATTGTGTATGGTTCTTGGAACAAGTAACCCTCTTGCTAAATATTGTTGGAGTTTCATGTAAGCGTCATGGGATGCTTCGAAATGCTAGACTTGAGAGTATCACAAAAGCACTTGAATGTGGGGAACTCAAAACTGGGACTGGATTAAATCAAGAGATGGGGTTGGCTAGGCCCGATGAGACTCGATGGGGCTCTCATTATAAAACTATATGCAACATCATTACTATGTATCCCATAATTCGTGATGTACTCATCACTCTTGACAGGATACAACACATAAGAGTGATTGGACAAAAAATCATTTTATGGTTGGAGCATTTGAGTCATTTGATTTTTTTTCAGTGCACACTTGTTGTTTGTTATTCTTGATATACAAATGAATTATCTGAGTATTTGCAATGAGTATTTGCAAAGGAGGGAGCAAGATATTATTCATGCAATCCAACTTATTAATGTGGCAAAAAAACAGAATGCAACACTTGAGGTCTAATGGATGGGATCAATTCCTTCAAAAGGTCACTTTGTTTTGCAATAAACATGGTGTCATATGGAGGCTAATTATGTGCCTTATGGAAGATCAAGAAGGTCTGTCCAAGATCAAACAAATGATGATCACTTTAGAAGCGAGGTATACATTGGGGTTATTGATAAAATCAGTCATGAGCTTGACAATCGGTTTGATGAGGTTAATATGGAGTTGCTTTTTTGTATGTCTACCCTCAACCCTTTCAATTCATTTGCGTCATTTGATGCGCAGAAGGTACGTCGACTTGCTGAATTCTATCTTAAGGACATATTTGGCTCCGAATTGCTAAGGCTTGAATTGCAACTTGATACCTATATTGATGTCATGAGATAAGATGATAGATTTAGTGATCTAGAAAACCTTGTTGACCTCTCAGTTAAGCTAGTGGAAACAAATAGGCACAAAATTTATGGTTTGGTTTATTTGCTTATCAAATTGGTATTGTTTCTACCGGTGGCGACGACAAGTGTTGAGAGGGCATTTTCTGGAATGGATTTTGTCAAAACCAAGCGGAGAAACAAGATGACTGATAGTCTCTTGGATGATTGCCTTGTCGCGTTCATTGAGAGAGACATTTTGGATGAAGTAGATGAAGACGACGTAATTAAGACTTTCATGTCCATTAGAAAGCGTAGGCCCAAAAAGTAGTGTTGTAATCTTATTTGGTCAAGTTTCTATAATGCATATTCTAAACTATTAGTGTGCTATTTGAACTATTTGTATCTTCATTTTAGACTTATTATGCTATTTAATAGTTGTGTATCGAATTGTGAGGCAATTTTTATGATACTCTTCCGAATTGTATAATGGATTTTACCGGTTTGCAAATAAAAATTTTGGTTCGGCATACCCTACACAAAAATCCTAGCTCCGCTACTGATAAATTGCATTTCAGAAAAAGAAATCACATCATTTAGAAAAACTCAAATATATCAAAGTACATAAGCATATAATATATATATATATATATCAGTTATGCAGAACAGTGGAAGTAAAAAATAATAAGAAAAACTATTATCCTAACAAATGCTTAAAAAATTATTCAATAGTGATGAAACTCTACGATAAAGAAACTGGAGTATTATTCAGCCTGTTCGCTGGTTGGTTTCTAGGCTGATAAGTCCGGCCGGTGCTGGTTCATTGTGAGAGAAAAACATTGTTGGCTGACTGATAAGACCTGACTGAAACCAACAAGCGAACATGATGATTATCTCCCATCTTTCACGTTGAAATTGCTCTGGCTCTACGGGAGGACGGGCACCAACCAAAATGGTTTGCGCGAGAGAGCAGGTATGTCCTGAGTTGGAGCAACGAGCTCACGAGTGCCTTCCTTGAGATCAAAGATGTGGAAATCGTTGCTATCCCCGAGACAATCGTCGGCAAGGTAGACACACCCGCTCTTAAGGCCATGCTCCTCCGCAGAGCACGAGGCCGCAAAGCATCTGGGACCAAGAAGAAACGCGGCGTCGCCAATGTCGGTCACCTTGCACCATTCCTTCTTCGAGAAATCCATCACGTAGGCGCCGACCTCCTCGACACGGTCGAGGGTGCAACCGATGTAGAAGAGGCAGACGAGGAAGAGCTCCTTCGAGGATTCGAGGAGGTAGTGTCTTGTCACTTTCCGCTGCGCGTCCGTCGCGAGAGTGGGCAGCGGAGCTTTGAAGGTGACGAGCTCCAGACACGGTTCCGGATCGTCGGGCAAGATGACGAGAGTGCCGACCACGTCTACCGACTCGTGATCGAGGTAGAAGTACATCCCTTGCACAGCAGCCATCTCGCCGATGGCCCTCGGTGTGGAGACTTTCCCGGGGACCTCACAAAGGCCCATGTCGTAGGACTGCTTGACCCACGCGCTGCCGCCTCTGATCCGGCAGAACAGAAGCTCCGGGCGCGTGAGGTCGTAGACGAGGACCAGGGGGTCTGGAGGAGCGACGTCGTCAGAGATCCAGTCTGGTGGAGAAGAGGTGGTGTCAGAGACCAGGCACCGGCAGTGGTCCGGTAGCTCGCCGTCCATCGCGGGCAGCGCCGTCTTCTCCCCGGTCTGCGGGTTCCACAGCCAACAGGATCTCGAGGCGGCGTCCACCATGAGCACCAGGCCCTGCGGAGTCTCTACACACCTGTATTCGCAGCACATCTCAGGCACTTGGATGGTGCGCATGGAGCCGTCGGCGACCGAAAGCACGGTCTGGAAAATCTCCGGTGGAACGCCGTGCTTGTAGTCGTACACGAGCAGCGGGAAAGACGAGGCCGCCGCCGCTAGCGGGCCGACATCTTGGGTGAGTTTCGATTCCATCTTGAACGCACCGACGAGAAAACGAGAAACACCGCGCCGCGGATCTGCTCCCCTCGTAGATTTTGCTCTGTGATTGCTGTTTGGGCTCTGCAACACCACGCCTCGCCCCTATCTCTTTTAAAGGATCAGACTAGGGAACTGATCCGAGTCGGAGGGCACATCTCAATCCATGTTAATACGAGAGATAACCATAACGGACCTGGACTCGAGTTCGCTCCGGATCCGTGCAGGTGCCCGAAACAGGGCGGATTACAGGGTGATGATGAAGGCGGGGCGATCGGTCGCCGTGAACCGGCTCGGTCGACAGTGGCGGCGGCGATGCAGAGTGCCGATGCGCTCGCGGTATTCTGGACCGCGGTTCAATCCAGGCAGTTTTTTATAATTATATAAAAATCCAGACAGTTTTTTTCCCATACAACAAACTTGTGTCGTGCCCAGATGATAAAACTGACCCAAGTATACCAATTGAACGATTCAAAAAAAAAGTATACCAATTGAAGCACCACCATGTGGAGTCCATTCATGATAAAATATGAAAAGGTGCTGCTACATTTTTGGCATGCAAAATGATAACTTGGACACGAATCCAACCGCAGCATAAGCGTGCTCGTCGTCCAACAGCAGCCGCTACTTAGATGCTGCGGATAATTTTTTTATTACACAGTATAACTCAAACATTCACCACACAAGTACTTACCTCTACGAACGCACACACACAAATCCATCCCTATGAGTATTTTCGAAGACTAAGCTAGCAATCTCGAGATTGATGAAGTCACTATAGACGCCTCGCTGTCGATATGAACACCGCCTACCACTAAAAAGCACAAACACCGTTAAATCTAAAAATACACTCCCACTGGGAATTGAACCCAGGACTTTAAGGTACTACTAAGGCTTTTATAACTATTAGGCTACGGACCCTTTCGTAGACGCTATAGATATATTTGTACAAAACGAGGATTACCATATAAAAGGGATCATCTAACAATATGTCTAAGAACTAAATTTATATCTATATATTTATATTGATGAATCAAAATTTCATTTTTTTTCTCTCTCTTTAACACTTAGACAGTGGACACTTTTTCTCACCCTGTTTTTTTATTTGATCCAAACTTATGATACATACTCGTACGAGTTAGAACAACTCGCTTATAGTGATGATTGATATACGGTCCAATTTCAATACGTATTGGGCCGCACTCTTCATCATATCTCATATGTGACCTAGACTTTTTTTAATATAATGGAAACAAAAGTTCTAGCTTCATCATTCCTCTAGGAGGAGGAATCAGACCAATTATTACAAACTCACACTAAAGTGAAAAACCAAGGAACCACTCCTGATGTTTAAGATGATAAATGAAACTCAGCCATGAGAAGCAAACAAAAACATGGCAGTAGACTCTAAAAGCCTATATGCCTCCACAAAGGGATGTCTTGTGTTCATCTAAGCGCTCTAATTGACTCTAGAATCGGAGCTAATATGTCCCGTGGAAAATTACCTGCAAAAAAGTTTGTTTTTGACATTTGTGGAAAACGAAATTGTACAAGAACAGCTCGCGTCTAGCGATGATACGAAGTCGTATTTGGGTTTCGTCGCAACACATGAGCACCTTTGCTAGTTAGAACTAAATGTAGTGTCGGTGCAGAAAGTGACCAACACGTAAAAATTTGTAGTTTTGCCGTACGTTGTGATCGGAGGTGGCCTAGCACTCAATGACACAGGATTTATACTGGTTCAGGCAACGTGCCCTACGTTCAGTTTGAGTCGGTCAGTGACTTTATTCATGAGCCCAGGTGCTCGAAGTTTGCAGTGGGGTTACAAACGAGAAGAAGAAAGATGGAGGTACGAGAGGTCGGTCGGACTCTGGTCAGAGGGGCCGAGAGTGACGGGAACTCCGCTATGTGCTAAGTGAACTTGGTCGATCTAATTGAATCTGAGTTGTGTTGGAGAGAGCGCATCCCCTTTTATAGATGAAGGGGATGGCCTTACAAGTGAGAGGGAGAGAGTACGTATGCTACTAAGTCTTGTTGCCCACGCCGATGGGTACAAGATGATGGTAGGCACCCACAATACTGTTGAACGTCAGATGCACGTGAGAGGTTGTGTTGTCTTCTTCGGGTATGGCAAATGTCGGCGCCTGCCACACTGTTGATACCCGGAGGCATTTTAAGGGGTTTTACCATGTTCCTCGTTCCTCTGGTACGATAAATGCCGGCGCCTACAACACTGTCGATGTCCAGAGGCATGTGGGGGGAGCCTTACCGTATTTGTCTGGTATGGGAGTTAATGGTGCCCACAACACTGTAGGGGAAAATGTCAGCGCCTACAACACTGCTTGAGTTCTATCGTGCCAGGAGGGTCGCAGGGTACTGCCTGGCAGGTGCACAGGGTACGGTCCCTGGTATTGCGGTTTGACTTGTGCGCCCTGCCTTACTTTCTCCATTCGTTTCCTAGTCCTTACCGAGCGGGCATCCCCGGTCGGTTGGCCCCCAGTCAGCACTGACTGCGCCAGTTGGAAAGGAGCTTATAAGCAGGGGTTCGGCGTATCCCCGGTCGGAGACGTGGGTCGAGTCAGAAGTGATGTTTGGCCAGGCCTTCCGGTCGGAGAGTCTATCTGGAGGCGGGTTGGAGACCGAAGCGAGCGCTCTGGTTGGAGAGGTGGGCCGGAGTCGGAAGCGGGTGACGTTCCTCCTCGGCCAGGCCTTCCGGTCGAAGATTGGATCATCTTTCCGGCCTGTCGTCTAGGTATTTGGGCCGACTCATGAGTTGTGCATTGCTCGCAATGTTGTCTGTTGGGCCCAGCCTTTGTTGGGAAGCCGGTCCATGAGGGACCCCGGGTTTATGAACCCGAGCCCCCGAGCCCCCGGGCGATTCAGGTAGAATCATTTGGGGGATTTTTGTCCCGACGACGGGTGTAGCCCCAGCCCCCGGGCGATTCGGGCAGAATCGTCTGGGGGGTTTTTCATGTCGCTAGCGGGGGAAGTTTTCGTTTTGTTAGCTGGAGCGCGCGAGCGCACCCGCGGGTGTAGCCCCCGAGCCCCCGGGCGATTCGGGCAGAATCGTCTGGGGGGTTATGTCAGCGGGCTTGTGTGCGTGTTTTTTAGTCGAGACGGAGTCATCAACCAAGGCGTCGTTGCGCAGCTGAGGCGGTTAGTTTTAGGGATCGGACGAAGCTCGCGGATCCTGGCGTCGGTGTGCGCCATGGGATCGGGCGAGTCAGAGTCGTGGATCCTGGCGTCGATGCAGCTTGCGCAGCCGAGGCCGTTAGTTTAGAGATCGGACGAGACAGAGCTCGCGGATCCTAGCGTCGGTGCGCACCGTGGGATCGGGCGAGTCGGAGTCGTGGATCCTGGCGGCGGTGCGACCTACGCAGCCGAGGCCGTTAGTTTAGGGATCGGACGAGACGGAGCTCGCGGATCCTGTCGTCGGTGTGCGTCGAGGGATCGGGCGAGTCGGAGTCATGGTTCCTGGCGTCGGTGCAGCCCACACAGCCAAGGCAGTTAGTTAGTTAGTTTAGGGATCAGGCAAGACGGAGCTCGTGGATCCTGGCGTCGGTGCGCACCGTGGGATCGGGCGAGTCAGAGTCATGGATCCTGATGGGGCGAGTTTGGGGTCGCAGACCCAGGCGTTTGGTGTGCAGTCAAGGCGGAGCCGAAGGATGGGGCGAGTTTGGGCTCATAGACCCAGGCGTTTGGTGTGCAGTCGAGGCGGAGACGAAGGATGGGGCGAGTTTAGGGTCACAGACCCAGGGGTTTTTGAGTGTCTTGAGCCCCCGAGCCCCGTTGGGCTTGGTAGGGGTCGGTTTGAGTTTTGTGCATTACCCCGTCCTCGGTTTCTCACAACCGGAGGGGCTGAGTTTTGTCGCTTGCCACGATCGCTCGAGCTCGAGTGACGCGCTCGGTGAGCTCGCTAACGGGTATGATCGAGTGGAATCCTGGTTCGTCGTTCGTGACGGGGTCGGCATAGCCCTCTTGTGACATTCCACTGCTCCTTTACCTGCAACCCGACAGATGCCTGGGTCATTCCAGAGACCGACCCGGGTGGCCTGCTGGCCTCCCCTCGATGGAGATTCTGTGGGTTTGGTGAGAGGTTTAGGATCGAACGAGAAGGTTAAGATGACCCTGTCCGCTTCGGGGCAGACTAGGCGAGGGCCGCAAGGGGCTCATCTGTGTTTTTCTCCCCTGGCTCTGTTTGACGTGAGACGGCCTTGAGCCCTTTGCGGGCTGGCCTTCGTATCCTAGTCGATCGTTGCTCATGTTGAATGAGGCAACTGCCCCTTCATGACGCAACACGGAACGTTGTGATGCATTTCGCCGCAAGTGCGATGCCTTAGTTCCCGAGCCCCCGGGCGGTTCAGGGCCCAAATCGTCCGGGGGGCACGGGCGTATGGAATGAATGCGTGTATGGACGTATGAATGACTATAAAGAAATAGTGGGGGTCGGTAGTGTTACCTTGATGACTCGAGCGATGGGGTTTGAAGAGCACCAATCGGAAATGTTCGACCGGGATCCATGCTCGTCATTCGTGATGGAGTCGGCATGGCCTACATGGGGCATCCCTTTGCTCCTTACCTATCTCTCGGTTTTGCCTAAGCCATTTGATCAGACTCAAGAAGCCCGTTGGTCTCTCCTGGCGGAGATCCTGTAGTTTTGGGCTTTTTCCAAGTCCCGCCTGGGGAGGCGGAGAGCCGCCTACGCGTGGTGGCACTTTGGTTCTTGCGCCTGGCGTGCGGTAGTGGTGGGCCATACCCAGGCCACGTCTTGTCTGATCAGGCGCCATTCCGTCGGGCAGGGTGCGTCTCATCGGTAAGGGCGTGTCCCATCGTATCCCATCTGCATTAAATGGGGAAGGGAGAGGGTTTTTCGCATCCATCATTTCGCCTTTCCCTGATCGCCACGCCCTCCCCAACTGCTGCACCCTTTTCTTTAAGTAGGAGAAGGGAGAGGGTTATTGCCCCGTTCCTTCGCTTATTCCTCATCTGTCGTCTCT